TCACTTGCTTCTATCTGATAGGTTAGTTATAGCAAGAATTGGTTAATCACCTCTCTATTCTTCATGAATTTCATTCCACCAGATCCTACTAGATTGAACCATGCACATGTATAGTCGACCAAAGCCCAATTCTCCACTTAGAGGACATGGAGGTCGACCAAGAAGCCCACCCAGAAGAGGATACGGTGGCGAGCGATGGAGGCACATTGAGTAGAATATTGGCACCTTTTGGTTCATAATATTTCCATAACATTGCAAGTAAACCCTTTTCCCTCGATATTATACCTATCAAGTCAATATGGTTGTGATTAGGCTGCATATTTTCTTGGATTATCAATGTTTTTTTTGGTTTTTGTTTAACCTTTTCTTATTTACATTCATTGTGATTATCTTATTGTGTTTTTCTAACTGGACTTGTAGGTCGGAAGAGCTTTATATACCTACCGAAAGGTTTGGAGTAGTCAGATCGTCAGAGATGACTATCTCCTAAATAACTATTACCCTTTGACAAAAATTATGAAAAGTAGTTGCCACAGATCAATTTTATAAATTTTGCTTATATGTTTTAATCAAGAGTTGTAACTTCTTAGTCTAAATTATATTGGTGGTTGCAATTCATTTTGATGTTTACAATGTTTAATCCAAATTTAAAACCATTTTAACATCATTTGTTGTTACCCTTCCTATTTTATTTGGATACTTGAGCTCAAAGATTGCAACATAAAGTCACAATTTTATATTAAAAAAATCATCATTGATTCTTTTATATCATTAAACGAGATGAATATTTTAACCAAATAGTCAAAATTAAAGTTAATCTACTTGTGTTTTCTTTCGCATTAGTTTTCTTTTTACAAAAGTTCATGGGTGGTCTTATCATGTGTAGAACCAAGTATAGCAACCATGTTTTAAAGTATGGTAGACATTAGGTGCTTGAGGGAGAAGTTACTCAATTCCATGTAGAGTGGATTTGGTGCAGAACATGCATTGGGTTGAAAAAAGACATAAATGTATTTATGTAACTATTGCGAACTATTTTAATCTTATTATTGTGCAGGTTGTGGTCCGTAAGAGGGATTAACAAGATTAAAAAGATAAGAGTAATATAGTTGGTTTATAATTTTGAGTAAATGCCATCAACCCGGCCTTAGCTTAGTTTGTAGAGCACACTGTAGTGTTGGACATGGTCATGTTTTTAATGCATATACAAAGTACCTCTTTCATTTTGTATACTTTTTAGCAATGCTCAAAAAGTCTAATTTTGATTTGTTTTTCAATGTTTATATTCTATTAATTACACAAGTATTCAATATCAACGTTCATATCATGTTAATTACATAAGTTCCAATCTTTTGATTAGTGTTTGAAACTTATCTAAACTTCTTCTACTTATTGAATGGTTAAAAGTCTTAGATATTGTATGAATGATTTATATATTAAATTTTGTAACAGTAAGTTTAAGACTCTTAAAATTGTATTGAATTCAAAGGAAATCAATAATAAATATCATATAACTTTGAATAAACTTTTACAGTCACTATAAATCGATATTATTGCACTTAATATTAACTATACCCTGCATCTAGCGTTGCCATGTTTCGAACATACATAATTGCAAATTATATATCTTAATTAAACATAACACATCTGTTAATTTTGTACGAAAACAAAATCATATATAACCGATAAGAATAATTAGAAACTACACAAATTATTTTAAAAATGATTTGTCTAATTCAGATATGGCTTCGTATTTGGGTTATTATGCTCACATATACTTCAAACTATGATACGTTTTGCAGCAAAGAAATTATCCACTTCTTGTTGAAAGTAAAGTAATAGCGAAAAAAACAATTTCCAAAAACGCCTACCAAAAGAAAGTAATTATCGATGAAAGCTAATCGCCGAAAAAACAGTTTTTCGCTGTTGCATCGTGCGGGTAGACTACTAGTATATATATATATATATATATATATATATATATATATATATATATATATATATATATATATATATATATATTTGCCCATGTCATCTTCGAAACCCCTGGTACTGTTCACATTTATGGATTTGTCACCTTCGCCGTACGTGACAATCGGAATTGATGTGTTTTAGAACTAACACATGCAATGTTTTGAAGAAATTTCTTTATTTTATATTTAGACTTTGGAATTGGGTGTGTAATATTCATTTTATGGCTTTGTCACCATCATCATGTGACGTGTGTAATTATCGGAGTTAAAGTGTAGTATAACGAAGCATTCAATATTATGAAAAGATATATTGTTGTGTATTTGGAATAGGATGGTTAACGTTCTTTTTATATTTGGGGAAATGAACAAAAAAATTAATTATTCTAAAATAGTATCTCAAATGGCCTACTATTTCGGCTTCATACTTCTGTATGAGTGTATAAGATTTTTTTTTTTTTTCAAATACCATATGAAACCGTAAGTTTCTAAATAACCTACAGTATCCTTTAATAAATCTACAGTTTTCCAAACCATAAGGTTTCATAAGAACCTACGGTGTACAAACAGTCAATGCATAAAACATACATTAATTACTTGTAAAACCTACAATTTCCCTTATATTTCTTTTGCACTTTTTTTAAAATCACCATATCATAATTATATGTCATTGTATATGATCTAAAAAAAGAAAAAACAAAAAACAATTTACGAAAACCATAGGTTTCATAAGGAGTCTATGGTGTACAAGCAATTAACGCATGTTTTGTACATTGAATACTTGTACACTATAGGTATGAAGTCTATTGGGTTATTTTTTGATTTTTTTTCCAGAAAAAACGTATGTATTGAATTCATCGCAAACAAGAAAAAACAAAGAAAAAAAAATCAAAGATTCAAAGAAATACTTGGTCCTTCTTTGAAGGCTGCATTGTGAATTTTTTTTGTAAGTTCAAAAACACAAAAATGAGCAAAAATAACATGTCCTGAAACATTAGATATCCCACGATACAGCAGCTCATTGTTCGAAATAATAGTCAACACAAAGGTGACCATATTCAACCATGCGTTGACCGTAGGTTTTTTAATCACAGTAGTTAATTTGAAAAAAAAAATGCTCATTTTTATCTAAAAACTAAAAATAATATATATATATATATATATATATATATATATATATATATATATATATATATATATATATATTAGTTTTGTAATTTCCCCTATTATATTTTTGTCACCATCAAGGTCACCATATGCAATCATGGTGGTTAAGATTATATGTGTATTCACGCCTGCATAAAAGTAGTTAAAATATTGACTTTTAGAGTAAGAATTAGTTTAAAGAAGTAAGCTGGATAATTCATTATGAACACGTTTCGTCATATGTTTTTGTCTTTATATGTAATGTTATACTTGTTTGAAAATTATAACTATTATTTTTATAGAGTATTTTTATGTTACTTAATTATTTTCACCATCAAGTTTTTATATATGTACCTTGTTATTTCATTGTTCTCTATTTTAGTTTCAATTATAAGTTTTTGTGCATTTATATATGTCACACATGAATTCACAAGATACGAATGTGTGAAATACAAACACAAGAGACACTAATTGTAAAACATGTTTGAGTATCAAACACAAACATGACACATAATTAATCAGTATGACACGAGACACGTTATGAATATATACATTTTTAACCGTGTTACATGAAAACATTGATTTGCATGAATTTATACATGCATTATCCAATACCATTTTTTAAGCTAGAAAAACATGCATTTAATCTATGTTTGTAAATGTCACGTGTCCTATATCTCTAGGTCTATAATCATATTTATACATGTCGTGTATTATACGAATTTAGCTCACACATGTTAATATGTAAATGTGTTTAACATGTATAATACACGAAACACGAATTTAAAACCCGTGTCGACACGAACATATAAACAAAAATTTCTAAACGTTGTACACGAAAAACTCGTGGCGTGTGAGTCGTATTGTGTATCAAATTGATAGGTCTAATTATAAAGCTATACGGAGTGGAGGATATGATGTCATCGGCATCCCATGTGGCACTTAATGTTAGTGACAAACACTCCCCTTGATCGTCGACAATCCTTCATCGGTGAGAAGTCGTCGTTGAGTTCCAAAGGATAAAAAGAAAATCTCCCCTTTCTAAATATTCATCCACTTTTAATAAATATATACCTATCTTATTTACATATAATCATATACCTTATTACCTATAAATCCCATAAAACATATAAACTAATATACAATTCATCGTATACTCAAATTTTCTATGCCTTTTACAATCCACACTAAAATAATAACACCACCGTTAAAAATGCAAGGGAAAAACTTTTGTTTAATATTTTAGAAAAGAACCTCCATTTGTTCATTTACCAAGATTAAGCACCAAATCATAAATAAGCTCTACCAAGGATTGTCTAGCAATACATACTAAGTTTTCTCTCTCTCTCTCTCTCTTTTTTTTTTTTTTTTTTTTTTGGTAACAAAATGAATAAAAGCAAGACCAAATTGAATTGTTGGCTTTAGATTTAATCAAATTGATATGAGCCTTATACAATGATATTAAAGATCATGTTATTGAAAGCTTTTATCTTATTTGAATTATAATTTCTATTTCATTATTTTAGTTATTTTTAAATTTCATGTTATGTTTTTTAAATTTAATGTATTGTTATGTTTTTTTATTTTAATGAAATATTATGTTATATTAATTAATGTTTTTGTAATTATGTTATTTATTTTAATTACTAAACATTACATTTTATAATTTTTTTTTAAAAAAAAACGGAGGCAATAAATGGTAACATACCCTAACCAATGGCAAAAAAAAAAATGCAAAAATTACAAAATTCTATTTATGATCGAATTTTTCTTGATAACTTTATAAGATTTATTCTATTTTTTTTTTTTTTTTCATAAGGCTGCCTTGCTGTCCAATCATCTACACTATATATACATAAAGAGTTGCTAGCAGAATTCCGAAACAGAGCACTCTCCATCTGTTCTTATCTCTCCTCTGTTTCCCAGATTTTCGCATCAATAGAAGATTCTCGCTCTATAATTCCGTGAAACTGTTGGAGTTTTGTTGCATGTAAGAACATTAACAGCAATAGTTTTGCCTCAATTTCAACCCTTTCAATACTGCGTACGTATCTCTTCATGCGTCCATGTTGTAGAGAATCACAATCAAATAGAGTTGCGTTTCCCTAATGAATTCGAAATTCACATTAAAACCCTAGTGATTGCTATTCTGGTAATCGAATATCGTTTCACATTATTTCGTGGTTCATCGTACGATTTTATAGCTTTCAATTGTTTCTCTAGAACTCCATGCTGTATCGACGCATTGATGTTTATTTACGATTTGATTAAAAAACTTCGTGCCAAAAAAAACCCTCGTCGATTAATTCGACGTCATTCTCTTGTCGATCGTATTTTCAGGATACTGTTTTGAAGCTTATCGCAAGAGACGCGGTTTTCTAAGGATCGAAGGTTGAAGGGTAATGAAGACTACGGGGGAATCCGACTGCATCCTTTTAGTCGATAGCGAAAACAAGGAGATCGATGAAGATAAGGATTTAGATAGAGATGGAGATAATGATTTTGATGGAGGTGATGACGATGATTCCCGGAACAAAGCCAATGATGATGAGCAGGATTTTGATTCCTCTAACAATGCCGGCGATGAACCTCAATCTTCGGATCCATCATGGCCTCGAAGTTACAGGTATAACCAACAAACCCTTCCGCTTTCGTCATTGAAAGGCATAATTTCATCAGTGTGATCAATATTTGTAATATTTTTCAGGAAGTCGATGGATCTGTTAGGTACTGTAGCATCTCCGAGTCTGAGCTTTCTAGGGTCTCCTCCATTATCATCATTAGGTGGTTCATTCCTTTCATCATCACCTAAAAGGAGACAAAATCCCAAAATAACCACCAGTTTAGGCAACCCTCTGTTGCCACCTTTGGCAGACAACCATCACCATCATCCTTCTGATCATTCACTTCATTCTCAATGGACATCTTCTGCTAGAAAGTTGTCACAACATCAGAAATCTCAGATTAAACAGAGTTCATTCGCCCAAGCTGTGGTTAATGGTATGTATATAAGTTATTTATTATTATTATTTGTCGTAGGTCTCAAAATATGTTGATTTGTAATCTTGTAGGTGTAAATCTACTTTGTGGAGTAGCACTTCTTTCTACTCCATATGCAGTGAAAGAAGGTGGATGGTTTGGATTATCTATAATGTTCATCTTTTGTGTTCTTTGTTTCTACACTGGTCTCCTCCTCCGTGACTGCTTAGATACTCACCCTAGACTTCAGACTTATCCAGATATCGGTGAAGCCGCCTTTGGCATACCCGGACGCCTACTCGTCTCTGTAAGTTTAATTTTTAATTTTATATTTAAAAAAAAAAAAAAAAAAGAATACTTACTTAACCTTGTGTAATTCTTTTGTTGCAGATAGTTTTGTATGTGGAGTTGTATGTAAGTATCCCTAACAAAATCCTACGCATTGTTTATTCTATTATAAGTATATTAATCTCATGATCACTTGGTTTTCAATTCGGTTTCAACAGGCGTCATGTGTTGAATTCATAATCTTGGAGAGTGATAACATATCTTCTTTATTCCCAAATACAAATCTAATCATTGGAGGACACCAAATAAATTCACATTCTTTCTTCGCAATTACCATCACTCTTGTTGTGCTTCCTACTGTTTGGCTTCGCGACTTGAGTGTTCTCAGTTACATCTCCGGTTAGTTCAGAATATGTATATAAGTAAGTACAAGTAGAATAGTAAATGACTATATTACCCTTTATCTTTTTTTTTTATTGTTGCAGCTGGAGGAGTTTTTGTAATAATTATTTTGGTATGTTCCTTGTTTTGGATCGGTTTGGTGGATAACATTGGGTATCAAATGGAAACTACAAAAATGTTAAATCTATCGACTTTGCCTGTGTCTATTGGGATGTATGGTTACTGTTATGCAGGACATGCTGTTCTTCCTAATATCTATATGTCCATGGAAAAAAAGAGTCAATATCCTCTTGTCATTTTAGCCAGGTAATTCAAAAATAACACAAACACTTAAATTACCCAAAAGGGTAAAACCGTAAAATGGTAATTGTGTTTTTTTTTTTTCTTTTTTGTTGTTGAAGCTTTGGGATATGTACTTTAATTTATGCTGGAGTTGCGATAATGGGATACATGATGTTTGGAGAATCAACAGAATCACAATTCACTCTCAACCTCCCGCCAAATTTACTTGCTTCCAAGATTGCTATTTGGGCTACGGTATATAAATTCTTACTTGTGTAATTTCTTTTTATTTTTATTTTTTTACTCATTTCTATAAAAAAATTCTTCTCTTTTAGGTGATCACTCCAGTAACCAAATATCCTTTTTCCGTAAAGCCTCTTGGATTCTTGCTTTTTTTGTGTGAATGTTATTTTGTATTTTATCTTAACAAGAAATAATCACATATGCGTTAGTAATATCCCCAGTGGCTAAAAGTTTGGAGGAATTAATACCATCAAAACATTCAAAGTCACACGTCTACTCAATCCTCATTAGAACAGCATTAGTGATCTCTACTTTAATCGTCGCCCTTTCTGTTCCCTTTTTTGGTAAACCTTTCTTTCCTCTTACATTTCATTAACTATTTCAATCTATATTATATTTTTTACAAATTAATGATTTTGGATAAACTATTATTATTTACACTCTTCTTATCACAGGTCTGGTGATGTCATTGATTGGATCTTTACTCTCAATGTTGGTGGTAAGTCCTCTTTCTATGTTTTTAATAGCAATTTACTTTATATAATGGGTAAAAAATAAAATACATTGCCTATATCGGTAAAAAGAGCAAATTACAAAAACTAATTAATGTTCTTTTTTATTTTTTTGTAATTCCAGTCATTGATATTTCCTTGTGCTTGCTTTTTGCGCATCTTAAGAGGCAATGTGACACGTTTCCAGGTATCATATGTGATTTTTATAAGCTTTGAACATGTTTTAGAAAAAAATGAATTCAAATATTGATTTTTTTTTTTTTTTTTGTATTGGTAGGTATCAATGTGCGTATTAATCATTGCAATTGGTGTGATCTCATTATCGTTTGGAACCTACACATCCATATCTGAAATCATTCAACAATATTTGTAGTTCTTTCGGAAGCCGATCTTTAACGAATTATTAATCATTGAGCAAGATTTTCTTTTTATACGATGCTCCAAGTGCATTTTCTCTTTATTTATTTTTTTCACTTTGCAAATTGACTGAATTATGAAGTCGGTAATGGTTAATTAGCGGATCAATTAGGCAAACTTAAAAACCCTTTTAACATTTTTCTACGTTTGTATGTTTCGAATGGAGAACAAACAAAGAAACAAATCTTCATTATTTTTCTATGTTTGTTTGTAATTGAGAACACACAAAGAAACACTTTTGTAACATATTTTTGTTTTTAATGATTGTATAATGTATATCCCAAAACAAGGAACACTGTTTAATATTATTCTATGTTTCCCTACTAGAATGAACATTGTTTGATAATGAGTTTGGGGACATACAAGTTATATCATATCCATAAAAAGTGACATTTATCACATACTTTTCGATTTTGAATTCCAAGCAACCCAAATCCATCAGAATAATGATAGGTATTAACTACATCAATCTTTTCATCCCTTTTCATGTCCAACAAGAATGATTTCTTGTCAATTACCAAATTAGACAAGTAAGTTTTAATTTAGGCAACCTACTTTTTAAAAGTTGATGAAACTGCACAAACATTCTTCCATTCATTTACAATTGAGTGTCATTTGACACAATTCCATCATCATATTCGAAAAATATCATCAACAAATCATGTAACCAAAAGTTTGACTACAACATCACGAAGTCAACACTTTGATTCTTGAAGATTTAACAATTCCAACATGCATCATGAATTATTCATCACCCCCTAATCAGTAATCACCACGAATCCTAACTTCAATTCATTATCAAAGAGAATAACTTTGAGGATAAAACCTTTGATTTGAAGTGCAAATCCATTAAAAATAGGTCATTTCCTTCCCTTAGAAGCTCCTTTACTAATTTGAGTGTATAATGCATAAAATCCAATCAAAAACTCACTAAAACAAGCTTTTGGATTATATATTTTTATGGTTAGAATATGGATCAAAACTAAAATGACCAATAACAATGGCTCTTAAAACAAGCATCCACTTCACTATTCAACCAGAAAGCATTTTAGAGAATAAAAGAAGTAGAAAACATACATTGTCATTGTATTTGTGCCTAAATCATTGCTCTCTTTTGCCACACTTTAGCTTTCTCTGCATCCATGATCGATTCCACCATTTTAACACAATTCTCTAACTTCCCTTCAGCATTCACAACCACATAATCAAAATTCTTCATCTGCTTCAACTCTTCTTTAGCTGTAGCAACCCTCACCAGCAATGCTTCCTTACTCTCTGTCTTCCTGTCAATCAACCTCATCACCAACTCACTCTCACTTTCAGCCACAAGAAACAAGAACACAGCAGAATCCCCAAGAATCTTTCTTAAAGTAGCAGCACCCTGTATGTCTACTCTCAATATAATGTCATGCCCTTTTGCCATGTAATCCCTAATCTGCTGTTTTGGTATCCCTTTGTAATCCCCATACACTAATGCATACTCTAAAAGCTCATCGTTTTCTACCATTGTTAAGAACTCTTCTTTACTAACAAAATAGTAATCTTTTCCATTAACTTCACCTGCTCTCATCGGCCTGCTCGTTGCTGTGACAACAAAGTGGATGTTTTCTCGAACTTCTCTCAGTCTTTTTATCAAACAGTCTTTCCCCACACCACTAGGCCCACTGATTACTACAATCAAAGGTCTTGGCTTTGGAGCTAATGGCTCTAAACTGAACGATGAACCTACCGATGTTTCCAGAGCGCGGTACAACTCCATTCGGTCGGCGGTTTCCACTGCCGGAATTGGGGCGGCAGCGGGTCTCCGGGATTCGCCCATACTAGAAATTGACTTGGGGGTTTGGGAGTTTGGTGTTCGTGGAGTAAATTTGTTGAAGACGAAGAGATGGTTGGTGGGTTTTTTGGTAAGAGGAACTGGGCTGAGATTGAAATGGGGGATAGAGGAACAAAACCTTCGGATTAGCATCGAATTGGAGAGGGGTTCGATACTGTTATATGTAAGTTTGGGTTTTGAATTTAGGGTTCTGAAAAAGGGTTTATTGAATCTTGTTATAAGATGACGGATTATTTTCTCTGAAACTGCGGGCGGAGCCAGAGAGAGGCAAAGCCCGACGTGAGCTGCCAAGAAACTGTATAATAGTAGAGGTCGAGTCTAGGGGTAAACGAATTTTATTTAACTTCATTAAAATTATTGATTATACAATAAACCCGATGGTTTAAAAAACGTACAGTTTCTGTCTATTTTTTTAGACAAAAATGCAAAAATGGTCCCTGTGGTTTGACATTTTTTGTGGATATGGTCCAACCTTTTAAAAATTGAATTTCTGGTCCTTATTGAAAAGTTTGTTTGTGGAACAAGTCCATGGGGTTAACAACCGTTTGTCTGTGGTTGTTAAACCCCTCACGTGCATTGCACACGAGGGCATAAATGTCTTTTTACTTGAGGGACCATTTTTACAATTCCTGAAATAAACCCGCTTGTTACAGTTTTAGCGTCATATTACACACAAAATCACAAAATATTTAGTTATCTCTTCCACTTCCATCTTCTTCGTCATTCGTTTTGAACGCAAAAACCCTAATCAAGATTTGGTCCAAGGTGTTTACTTGTTTTTGCTTTTCAACTGTAAATGGTGTTCGTAATGTGGGCGATTAGGCCAAAAGGCGAGACGTATGACATCACAAATGAATATGGTTAGTTTCACTTATCCTCTGTTTATGAAATTGTGTTAGGTTTCTTGATGATCTGAAGAACAGAGCCAAAAATACAAACATCTGATAATTTCTTACTTAATGTTTTTTGTATCTTGTAGAGCGTGTACCAACAATGTTCAGCATAAAGCTACACCATGGTGGAAATTTTACGAAGCTTCCAAACACGAAATATGTTAAAGGTGAAGTGTGATATATTGATTTAGTAGACATTGATGAGTTCTCAGTTCATGAACTAGACGCAATGATGCTAGAGCTAGGTTACTCTGTACCCCCTGTAATATATTACCATTTTAGGATTCCTCATGAAGACTTGGATTTTGGCCTCAGAGCTTTAGGGAATGATAATGATGTCTTGAATTTGGCTCAGTATATTGGAGATAACAAGGTCATTGAAGTGTATACAGAACATGGAAAAACTAATTTGCTGACCTGTTTTATGTCTCCAAAAGGAAAGCAAAAAGTTATTATTAAGGAGCTCTGTGATGGTGATCTTCCAAAAGAAGCAAATGTACCTCAAGTACCAGCAAAGGATAAAACCCCAATGATAGATGAAGCTAATGATCAAACACAGTTGGCAGGGTATATGTCCTTGATACTCTTTGACAAAGTCCCTACACAAGTTTCACCACAGTATAGAAGAAATGGAAGGGTGAACTCAATAGTTGGTCAAAGTTCTTGTGCCAAAAAGCTTTGTTTAGTTGAATTGGATGATGTAGTAGAAGATCAAGGTGGTGATCATGCTAAATTGGATGATGTTGTACAAGATCAAGGTGGTGAGAATCCTAAATTAGATGATGTGGTACAAGATCAAGCTGGTGAGCATGCTAACATGAATGATGTGGTTCAAGATCAAGAGGTTGAGCATGCCAACATGGATGATGTGGTACAAGATCAAGGTGGTGACCATGATAACTTTGATTATGATGAATTTCATTATGAGAACTTTTCTCATGATCACTTTGATCCTTTTTATGGAGAACATTATCAACCACCAAAAGATGAGAATGTTGAAGACCATCAGTCTGAACATGAAAAGTCTACTGACAGTGATGATCTTAGGCAACAATCAGAAGAACAATATGATGAACTTGTTGATGATGAAAACAATGTATCAGAAGTGGAGGTGGATATGACTGACTTTAACCTCAATCTTGATAAGGATTATGGTTGTGTTCAAATGGATGGGTTTCATAACGGGGTTGGGACAAATGATGAACATGAGGACATAGAAGTCATTGACAATGATAGATGGGATTCTTTAGATGAAGGGTTAGAAGATGAAAGGAAAAGAAGATGTGTTCTTAAAAATCTGGCTAAGGAGAAAAGATGCAGTCTTGGCAATGTCTATAAGGCTAGTTTTTATGTTGGGCAAAAGTTTAAATCAAAGAAAGAATTGAAAGAAAAAATTGACATGCACGCACTAGAAACTAGGAGGAATTTATATTATAAAAAGAATGACAAGCTTAGACTTCGGGCATTGTGTAGAGGTGTAGTCCCTGTCATCAATGCAAGTGGGGTGGTTGGCCTTAATCCCAAAAATAAAACCAAGGGCAAAGAGGTAAATTCAGAAAAAGTAAACTGTAGTTGGTTCCTTCATGCTTCTAGGTCAAACACAGAATCTCCCTGGTTTGTAAGGACATTAAATGACAACCATACTTTCCTTCAAAGTAGGAAGATTAGATCTTGCACTGCTACTTTTATATCCAAGCGAATCATGGACCAAATCGACATGAATCCAGGGATTCCTCTTCGAGCATTGCAGGAACAACTTCAAAAGGACTTCGAGGTAGGTATTTCTATTGACAAAGTATTCAGGGCCAAGGCTATTGCTACTAAGATCGTGGAAGGTGACTATACGAAACAATATGAGATCTTGAGGGACTATGTCCTTGAATTGCAAGCAACCAATGTTGACACAACTGTCAAGATTGATGTTTACAGTGAACAAAACCCATCAAACCCAACGAGGAGGTTTAAAAGAATCTACATTTGCTTAGGTCCCCTGAAAAAAGGTTTTAAGGCTGGCCTCAGGGATCTTTTGGGTTTTAATGGTGCGCATATGAAAGGACCATTTCCTGGGCAGGTTCTAACAGCAGTTGGGTTGGACTCTAACATTGGTATTTACCCCCTTGCTTATGCCATTGTTGAGACAGAGAACAAAAGTAGTTGGGTACGGTTCTTGCAGTGTTTAGGAGAAGACTTGGATCTTGGTTCAAACTCTAACTTTACTTTTATCATAGATCGACAAAAGGTATCTCTTTCTAACTTGTATTATTAATTACTTATTATTATATAAACTAAATACTTAATTTTTGTTATTGTTCTAGGGTTTAATACCAGCAATAGCCCAACTATTCCCATGTGTTGAGCACAGGTATTGTCTCAGGCACATACATCAGAACATGAGAGTGAAATGGAAATTGAAAGAGTACAAGGATCATTTATGGAGATGTGCAACTGCAACCACTGTACCTGAATTTGAGCATTCATTGAAAGAATTTAGCAACTATGACAAGGAGACATGTGAATGGCTTAGAAAGATTCCTCCAAAACACTAGGCAAGAAGCCATATTACAGGTACATAAATTACCATAAATTACTATATGTTAAATGTGTACTTGTACTTCAAAGAATATGTTAATTTTTTTAACAGGCAGAGCAATCTCTGATATACTGTTAAACAACCTTTGTGAGGTATTTAACAGCAAGATAATAGAGGGAAGAGATAAGCCTATCATAGGTTGTTTGGAGTATATTAGACAATACCTGATGAATAGAATCTGTAATGTTATGAAGGTGATGGACAAGGCAAAAGGGCCTTTAACACCCACTGCAACAACCATATTGGATGTAAACAAGTCTCATGCATCACATTACATTACTAGGTGGAATGGGGGTGAGAAATACCAAGTCACTAGGGTATGGCAAGACCAACATGTTGTAGATGTTAGGAACAACACATGTACTTGCAGGAAGTGGGAGCTAATAGGCATCCCATGTAAACATGCCATTGCAACCCTTTATGAAATGACCAAGAAATCAGAGGATGTTGGTGATATTTACAGGTGGGTCAATAAGGTATACTGGTTGGATACATGGAAGAATGCATATTCCTATAAGGTAGAGCCCATAAAAGGAAGAATAATGTGGCCTAAAAGTTTGTGTCCCACAACACTTATCCCTTCAATACATCATAAGCAACCAGGTAGGCCTACAAAGAAGAGGAAGAAAAGTGAGGATGAAAAATTGAGTCAGAGTCAAAGAGGGAGTCAAAGTTAGATTGGTACTCATGGTGTAAGTCAGGAAGAAGGCTGTAAAGTGGGTCCTGATGGAGTTCAAAAATTAACAAGGAAATATTTTCAGTGTAACATGTGCAAAATGCAAAAACAAAGGTCACAACTCAAGGACATGCAAAGGTCAAGGAGGTGGAAGTTAGGTGGAAGTTGAAGATCAAGGTTGTGCTTGTTTTGGCAGATGTTATTTGCTACTTTTGGAAGTGTTTTGATGTTAAAAAACTTATGACTTATGGTTATTTTGGTTTTCATTAGTATGATAAGTATTAGAACATATATATATGGTTGCATATTTTGGGATAATGTAATTGCACTATATGCTTGTAGTCTATTATGTAATTGCAGCCTTGGTTATTATGGTTTTTGGTTATTATTGTTTATTATAACCATTACAGTCAATTATTCACATTAACATTTCTTTCACCTTACAAAAACTACAAAGAACCTTACAAACAAAATAAGCAATTCCATAAAATCCATTTTTGTCAAAGCAAGAGAAAAATCAACAGTTGTCCAAATTTCTTGCCATTGACTTTGATGATGAAGAAAATGAAGATTTGGAAAATGAGATGCTGGGACAAAAAGCAGTTGTTAAGTACAACCAACTGATTGGAATTCATACAAAGAACCTTACAAACAACATAAGCAATTCCATAAGCAAAAACTACAAATAACCTTACAAACAACATAAGCAATTCCATAAAATTCATATTTATATCAGGAAGTCATTTACTACATAAACAACTTACTTTGACCTTACAAACAACTACAAAGAACCTAGGTCAAAGTACCAAAAACCATTAATCCACCAAAAAACCACACTTTTATCGATCTTCAACAAATAAAAACCCACCCCATTGACCTATTACCTAAACCTAAACAGACCTTATGAACAAAATCACAAAAAACACCCAACTAGCCAGCAACATGATCTTTAGAGCTGTGCACCAAGCTTGCATTCGATTAATATTTCTCAATAGTCCAGGAATAATGACTTTAGACCTTTCACACATGGGGGGATCAACCCATCCGATGAAGCGACAAGCAGAATCCTTCAAAAAGGGGAAGATAACAAATGTTATTTGATTACAAATCAAAATGGGTGCAAACGAATTTCTTTACCTTTTGAGGGCAAGCATAGAAACGTCTGTCTGGGTTCTTCGGTGTCCATGAGCATTTAACAACAGCAAACTTACCACAAAACAGAGAACCATCGTGTGATTAACTGACACCCCGACTGTTAACAAAGAGAGATGACAGATGGAAGAGAGAATGAAGAACAACTTGAAAGTTGCAGAACAACGTTTGGGGAAGAACTTGAACGTTGGGGAAGAACGTTGGGGAAGTCTTTATATATTATTTCAAGAATTGTAAAAATGGTCCCTCAAGTAAAAAGACATTTATGCCCTCGTGTGCAATGCACGTGAGGGGTTTAACAGCCACAAACAAACGGCTGTTAACCCCAGGGACTTGTTCCACAAACAAACCTTTCAATAAGGACCAGAAATCCAATTTTTAAAAGGTTTGGACCATATCCACAAAAAATGACAAACCACAGGGACCATTTTTGCATTTTTGTCATTTTTTTACTTTTTTTTTTCTATGCTCGCCTCCGCTAGCCCAAAATCTAATTTTCTTTTGGTGGATTTTTTTTTGAACCGGCAAAAGAGAGATGTATTAATAAAGGAAAAGCAAACCCGACCTAGCAAGAAGCTAAGGGGAAACAGAGTACCAGTTTAAAAAAATAAAACATACCATTACATGCTGCTAAATGGATATGAAATCCATTTTGGCCATATGACATCATTTTTTTCAATTCTATGCTTGAACCATAAGAAAGTCGATGATATAATGATATCAACAACTTTCGTGGCACACACCTTTTTGTTGTTGAATACTCTTTCATTCATTGCCTTCCATATACACCATAAAGTCCCATAACAGATGACCATTAGTCTCCTCTTCTTTTTTTGGGTAATTTCCCCAGTTTGAAGCATAGTCTAGAACCTCGTTTACCAACTGAAAGTCAACCAATGCTATTTGACACTAGTGAAAGATCCCTTTCAGAACAGTTTTTGCGAATGGGCATTGCACCAATACATGGATGTCATTTTCATCATTATGTCCACATTGGCAGCAAGATGTAGAGGGAAGATTGATACCTCGAGTGGATAGAGTCGAGGTAGTGGGGATTCATCCTAACTTTGCCCTCCACACAAAGCATGTCACTTTGATTGGTACTTCTTTAATCCACCAGAGTTTTCTTTCATCTATACTATTGTTTACTTCAAGCACATGTCTAAGTGCACGCACCTGGTAACTCCCATCTTCCGTGAGGGTGCAGGTCCAAGAGTTTCCGTTTGACACCTCATGTTTTTTTATGACATCGGTGGTAGGGATGCCCATTTTGACTAGTTCCTTTTCGATATTTGCAATATTGTTCCAGGCCCCTGCAGTTGATTTCATAGAGTAATGACTATCAAGTTTGTTAGCAACGTTATGTATGCTTGAGATGACTTTGGCTCATAGTAAACCCGACTGATTTTGATGCAGCCACCACCATTTAATAATTAAGGATGTGTTGAGAGCTTTTGTTAGTAATGACTATCAGGTTTCTTTTGGTGGGTTTGATATTCAAAATTTTGAACGACTTTAAATGAGTATTTTACTTTTATTATTTATTTTATTTTAGTTCAAATAAATACAAAAAGAAAATGGAAATTATATGAATGGTCCCGTGGTTTGGATAGTTTGTATGGTTGGCCCTATAAAGAATTTTTAATTAAGGCCCCGTTTAATAGTTGCTGACTGAAAAAGCGCTACTGGGAAAGATCTGTCTAGGTAAGAAATCCTGATTGAGTAAGAAATTATGTTGTTTGCTTGTTAATCTGACTACATATGCTTACTAATGAAAATGACTATTTTACCCTTTCAACAATAATAAGCAAAGGGATGCATTCATCAAGAACATAATCAAAAAAATCAATAAACATATAAATTTATCAACATCATTAGCAAATGATCAAATGAACAGCAAACATGAACTGAACAACAACCAAATCAATTGCAAATTCTGAACATTTATCAATCTCAACAACAAAAGTCAAAAGTTCAACAGGAAAAAAAAAAAAAAAAAAAAAAAAACTTTCAACAACAATAGAACAATCAAAATTCTAATAGGAAAAAACTTTCAACAACAATAGAACCTCATAAAACCTCAGTTTTGCAGCCATATTTCAATCATCAATAACTTTTCACCCTAGATTACAACTTTGTTCATGATTTCCAAAAAGGGCAATATTGTCAATATCCATCACCACTGAATTCCAGACAACTTCGGGAAGCATTGTACATAGTAATGCATTTTGTAATGAAATCCTTCAATTCAATTTAACATTTTAATACCAATCTTCCAATCTTCAATCCACTTTCATAAGTCCACATGACACAACTCACGCCAACTGTTATGATTGCAACCACCAAACACACGCACATAACAAACACCAACCATTGACCCTGCTACACACAGTTGTAATCCCAAGCATTTTCAATAAACAACCCAATAAAAAGAATGCAATGATCTTTATCTGATGAAATTAAAAAGAAAAGAAAAGTGAGTTTACCTAATCTATTACAAACTTCATAGCAACAGTTACAACTATGGCAGAAATCGATGCAGAAATCGGGAATATTTGATGAAATCGATGCAGAAATCGGGAATAATAGATGAAATAGATGTAGAAATCGAGACAGCAACAATCGTTCATGGTAGAAATCGGAACTATTATTAGATGAGGAGGGAGAAATCGATGCATACCTGATGAGACGAAGAGGAACTTCGATCGGTGCTTTTTGGAGGATTCTTGTTGGTTGCAAGAGAAATGAGGCGTTGTGTTAGGACAAGGGTAATGGGATGGAAACGTTTCTTGTTTTCCTCAGTCAGCTGGTATTGAATCCATTTCCCGGTCATATGCTTATTTTCGAGTCAGATGGATCAAGTTCTTATATCAAACAACTATTGTTGACCGAATCAACCCAATACGTCTTACCCAACTCGGTCATATGAAAAACAAACAGGGCCTAAGATGGTCTTTGATATTTGTGTTTGTTTCAATTTTGGTCTTGACTAGGGGTGTGCAAAAAAACCGCAAAACCGTAAAACCGAGCCGAACCGGCCGATCCGAAACCGAAAAAATCCGAAACATAAAAAACCGAAACCGAAAAAACCGGATATCAACGGGTCGGTTTTGGTTTTGATACTTAGGTATCCGCGGATAACCGAACTGAACCGCTTGATATATATATATATATATATATATATATATATATATATATATATATATATATATATATATATATATATATATATATATATAATATTATTCATTTTCATTGAACTTTTAGCCATATCCCAAACAAATATCATGATCGGCTATTCCAATTTTACACTTCTACGTTATGTTTTCTTCTATTTTTATTTTTATATTTATTATACCAATTATATTGTATGTTATTTGATCTTTATTATGTTTTTATAATTCTTTGGATTTAGTAATTTTTAGAAAGAAATCGTTGGAATGAAGTTTGTAATTTTAATTGAATTTAAATTTTTATATTTAACGGGTACCCGTGAACCGAACCGTGGTTACCCGCCTTTATACGGTTCGGTTCGGTTTCGGTTTGTGCACATGAAGTACCCTCCCCGTGATGACGGTTCACAATTTTATTATTATCCGAACCGAACCGCCCCGTTAACACCCCTAGTCTTGACCAATATGAAATTATTAATATTTCTTTATGGATTGTTTGAACTGTTTTTTATTATTAACTTATTTATTAAAATAATGTTGTTAATAAATATACGTCTCATTCATCCTTTTATTTCTTTCTCATTGCCCACATGAACTATATTTCCCCACATTTTCCTTCTCCAACCACTATCCATCCCCTCATCTGTAAATACTACATTCTCGCCGCCCAACAGATCTACGACACCACTTTCACCCATCATTCTTTCCACCACTACATTCCTCACATCCCCACTATTCCTATCGGCACATTGTAAGTCAAATCTAGATACCAACAGAAATCAAAGCATTTAATGGAACCTACAAACTCAAAATCAAAGATAGAGGGAGAATCTCTGCTCCATCTCTTGATTTAGCCTCTTTTTTCATAGACCCCAACCCCAATTCACATTGAAAATCGATTTTGACAATGTGGGTCTTATCAAGTGAGTAAATCTACTAGTCGGAGTTAGCCTTACATTGAAAATCGATTTTGACAATCGATTTTGAAACTCTTGAAAGTAAATAAAGTTAGGGGTTGAAGTTTAAGAACATTACAATGAATATACTAAACAAAATGTTTACTTGATGTAGTACGATTCTTGGTAATAACTTCTTGTATTCCAATGTGTTGGTGTACATAAAAGTGTTTTATAACGTTGTAAGTAAATAAATTTTAGGGTGTACCTGGTACGAAAAATTGGGCATTACACAAAATAATATCATCAACTACCAACTTGTTTTTTTTTCAAGAATCGCAACTCGCAACTCCTTTTACTTCATTCCCCATTGATACATATCCTCATACATCAAGGTTTTTTCAAGAGAACCTCCTCGTCAGTATGTTTTCTGACTATTACCAAGTTTTCTCTTTGTCCCAAATTGAACACTCAATCTATTATAAATTCCCAATGACAACTACAATTAGTCCTCAATTTTTACTTTTTGTCCTTAGAAAAATTCAAGAGAAAAATCAACATCGATTTGCAATCTTTGGTTCACGACCATTGATGCACAGTTCCACCATTGATTACCTCAACTACAACTATTGGAGTGTGTGTGTGTATATATATATATATATATATATATATATATATATATATATATATATATATATATATCTCTATATATATATATATGGTCCATTGGTATATTGAGACGAAAATCAAGAAACATAGGCTATGTTTGGCAGACTAACTGAAAAGCTACATGTTAACTGAAAAACTGACTGTTGTCTGAAAAGGTAGTTGCTAGTTGATAAGCTAGGTGCTAGTTGATAACCTAGCTGATAAAATGTGGTGTTTGGTAAAAACTAGCTGATAAGGTGGTTAGAAAATGTAAAATGACATAAAAGGACATTTACGAAAACGATTCAATTTTTATAAAACAAATATGTAAATCATAAAAATAAATTAAAGAAAATACTGAATAACATTTTTACGACTATTTATGTTTAAGTGAAATGTCGCGCATTCCAGATCATATTCGCAATATTGTCACGAATTTCTCGCATCTCATGTCGTGACTGTCGAATATTATCATGACTAAATCTTGAATAATTCTCCTGTTCTTTTCTAGGTATGTAATTATGTTGTTGAACAATGTTGAAAATCATATCTTCTGAATCATTTCTTCGGATATAGTTATGAAGGGTAAATGTCGCCATGATCACATCTATTTGAGTCTTCTCACTAAATTTTGGCATTCTGCTCAATATTTTCCACCTTTTTTCAACACTACAAACGAACGTTCAATACAACTTCGAAGAGATGAATGTATGCGGTTAAAAGCCTCTTGAGCATTGGTTGGAAGTACATGTTCAAACTATGATTGATGATATCTAAGACGTGGATATGGTGCCAGATATCCTTTTCGGTCAGGGTATCATTTGTCTACTACATAATATTTTCCTATATAAAAATAGATAAATAATAAATTCAAATGATTGTTAACGCAACAAATATTAAAAAGTAAAAAAAGTAATTATACCTTCGGGGGGCTTAGGAAAATTCATAGAAGGTGTCTCAATTGCATGAAGGAACACTCGAGTATCATGCGCCGATCCTTCCCACCCTACAGATATAAACGTAAAACACATGTCAAAGTCACATACGGCCATTACATTGAACGTAGGGACTCCTTTTCTTCCCCTATATCTCATTTGGTCGACCATCGGGATACATGCATCTATATGAGTACCATCAATGCATCCAATGCAATCCTGTTAAGAAAATGATTAAATTACAATACTGAAACATATGAAAACAAAACACCACAATGAATTACCTTGAAATAAGGCATATATCGACTATCATTTTCAATATGAGACGGTATGCAATGAAATGTTGCGTCTTTAGGTCTAATATACTCACGTGCAAGACCCATGAACCCTTTGCTCCTTCCACATATTGATTCCAACACATCATGAAAAGCCCGACTAATTGTCTCTCCAGAACGTTGAAACCTCTCGGCAACATCTCTGTTAGAAAGACCTAATGCAATTGTATACAAGAATATTCCAACCTTTTCTTATACGGATATTCTATCACTTGACTTCAACCCATAATTTTTTCCAAGTCTTCACATAGTTGTGTAAATAAACTAGCACTCATACGGAAAGCATTAATACATCGTATTGAATGACCGTCCAAGATCTCGTTCATCCACGCTTCTCCTGTCTGCTTTCAATTCATACACGGCTCCTTGTAAATATGAGTGTAGTAATAATTAACCACTGCTACATGTTCTTTTAGACTACTCAATGTTAAAAGTAGAAGTTGATTCCTTTGATTATCATCCATTGCAAGCTATATTCAACAATAACATTACTAGAAAAATAAATAAATACCAAGTAGGAAGGTAACACCAAACTAAAATACAAAACATTGCAAATAAACAAGATTAAAATCCAATGAAAAGATAAACATCAAACTAATTACTAACATTAAGTTTGAAAATAAAACTATTCACTAAAAAATCCATTCAAACTAAATTCTTCAAATTGTATTTCTCGTATGAGCAAGCTTCAACCAAGCCAATCTAGCATCATCACTCGGCATCTCGAAGAATATATCTCTATTACTTGGATCCCGAAACATAAGCATCGCATGACACCAAATATCCCCACCAACCTCAAAATCATCATTTGCAGCTATCCGATTCATAATTTCCATTATCTGCTTAATATTAGGTCCTACATCGTCCTTTTTAGTGTTTGGACCTTGCTTGATCAAACCCACAATATTTGAATAGATTTCGTGAACCTTTTCTATATGCTCCCTCATTAAAACAGCTCCCCTAGACTCCCTTTTTCTACGCTTCACACTTTTGTTACTTTGTTTAGGAACATCATAATTTGTAGGGTTACCAGTAACCTCTTCAGTAAAATTAGTCCAAAAAGAATTTTCTTGATTATCTAGACTCTCTAGTCTTGAATATTGAGAGTATTCACGCATAGCCTCATCAGACCAATCATTTTCATTTGGTATCTCGTCTACAACATTAATTGATTTATCTACAGACTCTAGATTTAATGAGGGAGATACACAGCCTACTCCTGTTGCCACAACATCACCAAACAGATGATCCCATTTTTCTTCTAGTAATGGATAAACTCCTTTGTGGCGGTACTTCTTTGCATCGGGTTTCTCCTATAACGTGAACTAATAAGACACTATAATATCAAAAGAATACTCAATACTACAAATATAAATATCTAAGTAATACCTTTAGCTTTCTATCCTACCATTCATCCGAACAATCTAGCTTTCCAGTGGTTAGGTTCCAACCTAAACCAATTTCTCCTGTTTTTAAAAATTTCCAAAGGCACCAATCTTTCTTCATGCTATCATACTTGTTCTTTAAGCATTTAAGGTTAAATCGTTTACCAATCTTTTCTGCAAACAAATCTTCTATCTATCTCCATCTCATGAGTTGACCACATCCATTCTTTGTAATGTAGTCGATACAAACCTCACAAAATTTTACAGCATTCCCATTGTTCCAGGATATCCCTCCCTCGGTATCTTTGTTTGGAGCCATGTTTCATGTAAAATCCTTGTACAGGTGTTGTATGTAAAAATCAGCAGCAAATGGGGAACATAATACAAGGCTATAGTGCAAGGAATAACCAGAAACAAACAACACCACCTCCAGAAAAAGTAAGACCAAATAGTTACAGGAA